GGAAATATCAGAAAATTCCATGCAAAATCCATTACTGCCTCTGCGAGAGGGATGTCATAGAAACCACCGCTCATGTTCAAATCAAATCAAGTTCATTACAGTCAAAAACCGGAGACCAGAACAAATAAAAATACTCAAGGGGTATCCAGTTAAAACTTCTACAATGAAATAATAAATAGCAGATACAATCGATATTAAAATCACATTTTGGCATCTAGTTTGTCAGTTACACACAGCCTAACTACCAGTCCTTAAACTGTGAGGCCCATAGTCATTAAATACAAAAATACAGTCTCTTCTCTAAATGCTCTACAAGGATCTTCACAACCAGATGAATAGACCCCTTTTTAAGATTTCCAGGGCCCTCTGATAACTTATATTTGCTATTATACTGTCAAGAAAACAATTCTCTCTCTCTAAAAAAAAGAGCAACATTTTGCTTCACTATGCATAAGGGGTTCTGTTAATTATGGGGGCATCACAGGTACTTGCTAATGGTCATCCTCAGAAGACTTGGTAGTTCTTCTGCAAGATTTGTCCTGTTCTGACCTAGGCTTGAAAAAAATCACCAAGCAGACGTCCCAACAAAACCCCTTTTCATTTGGCTAATGTGAATTCTTATTCACATCCAGCAAAGTCCTAGCAAACAGTCTTTCAAGAGTGATTTACAACCACAGAGCTTATCGGGCTTGGGGAGTTGCCAGGCCAATAGTTTCCAAGCGCAACAATGCTGTAGCAGAAAATACACTTGGTAAGGAGTCAGGAACAAATCTTCACCCTAATAAATTAAACTAATTGTCTCCTGCAAACACCACTCCCCTTTCGCTCCTCTTTTATTCCCTATGGGAAGGAGCATTCACCATCCACCTGTGCCTTGACTCCCGAGTCGACCCTTGTTCCTTAACTGTTCCCTTCTGGCAGCTCTGTGCATGCGTACACTGGGAACAGGCTCCAGCTGCTCTTCTGCCCCACTGATGTCTAACTTCGAAGGGAGCTGGAAACTGTCAGAAGACCCTGGCCCCATCTCTGCCTCTGATGCAGAGCACCCATCAGAACCTTCCCCAGATTTCAGGACTGGCCCATGTTCCTCCTCACTGTCCAAGTCCGCTGGCCACTGGTGGGCCACAACATGTCCTCCGATTATAATTTCACGCCTAATAATGGAATGTTTTGTTGCTAATGCACCTTGGAATCGCACCGTATTATACTACTGCCTTGAATTCTCTCAGTGACATTACTACTGTAGGCTTTTAGACTTTTTCCACTATCAACTTCCTTCATCCTTTGCCTATTCCTTTACAGGGATCACCTCCCCTAACAACGGAGCAAAGTTTGCAGACTATTCTCAACACCCTGGGCCGTCTCTCTGAGAAAAATACTGGCACATTTGTTAACTGGGAAGGGAATCTTATTCCCTGGTGAGACAACCAAGATTCTGCTTCTCCCCACTGCAGGATGATGTCCTCATGGAAGGCAATGCAACTTTCTACCTTCTATCACTGCTCACTATATCCTGCTCTGCTGCATGTTCTCCAACTTTCCCTTGCTTCAGTTACTCTGTCTGGTGCCCATCAAACCTTGTTCAGCAAGGCTCTTTCAGGCTGCAGATCGCAGTGATCCATCTAAATACTTCTAGATATCACTAGCAACCATTGGTAAAGCAGTGGTTTCTTATTGGAGAATTTTCTTTTGAGATCTCTGGTATCTCCCTAAACCACGACACTTAAGCCTCTGAGAATCAGTTCCTGTTCTGCAACTCCATTTGTTTGGAAATGGATCTTCACTTAGGCTGTGAATTCTCTTGCCAAAATGCCATCTGGAGCTTCCAATATGTTTGTACAGGATTTTTTTTTTTTAAGATTATATTGCATGAAATAAAAAATTGAGGACAAATCTCTCTTTTGTTAATGATGCAAAAATTGTCAAGACACTAAGACATGTGGTGGCCTTAAAATTTGAGATTCTCGGCAAGAGATTTGTTGGGGTCCCCATGAAAGGCTGAAGTTTGTAAGCTATGAGCAACTTATGAATTCTGATGACTCTTATTGTTTTCTAAATGGCTTATTGGCAGGTAGAAGAACTGATGGTAACATTTGAGAACGTTGATTGTGGTGGTGTCTATCAGGGCCACCTTCTAGAATAGGACTGAAGACATAGTCTTGTGGTGATTCTGGCAATTTCTTGGGGGCTGGCCCCAGGCATTGAGCTAGAAACCAGGTGAGAGAGAGTTCTAGTCCTACCATGGGCAAGAAAACCAGTTGGACAATTTTGGACCAGTCACTCTCTCTCAGCTCAGTTCAACTCACAAGGCTGCTGTTGGGCAAATAGCAGGAGGAAGAAGTAATAGATACGGATACAGATTAACAGAGTTGGAAGGGACCTTGTAGGTCATCTAACAGTGCAACACACACCCCAAGCAGACCCTACATCATTTTTGACGGATGACAGTCTCTTCTTGAAAGCTTCCAATGATGAAGATGTTGCCCAACTCTATTAAAATAACAAAAGTGGGATTTAAAAAAAATCTAAAAACAAAGATTGCCTTTGTATTCTTGAATAGCTTTATTTTCCAAAGTGTGCAGAAAATATTGCCAAATAGGGATTAGTTTTAATGATTTGGGTTGCTTATATGTATTTGCACAAACTTTAATTAATCTCCAAAAAGACTAGATATTTGTCTTGCCAATACTGTCTTATTAGCTGCTGCCATCATATGGAACTAAAATGTACAGTATAGTTCACTTCCATGGCGTCAATAGAATATTTGCTATTTTAGGCTACATAGAATATTTTCCCTCGCATCTTTACACTCGTAATACAGACGATTTTTGCCTTTGTGTTCTATTCTGGCAGGATAAAGATCATCAGTCTTATGGTATAGTTAAGTAAAAAAAAATTAGAAATGGTGGAAAGTATCTGTAGCTTGGATGGTAGGTAGCCAGACCAACCAACAACGGTGTCAACCAACAATCAACTTGCATCATCTCCAGCCAGGGTAGCCCCACCACCAGATGATCCTCACACAGCATGGCCAGTCAGTCACATGGCCAGCCAGGATGACCTTACCACCAGATGACCCTCATAAAGCATGACCAGTTGGTCAGGTGACCAACTAACCACATAAGACCTATGAAAGCAGAAGAGAAGTAAAATAAGACACTTCAGCTGAGGTTTTGCGGATGATTTATTTATTTATTTATTTACGATTTATTTATTTTGTCAAGCAATTATTAGATAACAGGTATAAGTATAAACATAGTTAAGAATACATGAAATGTATACGAATAAGAAAAAAAGAAAGAAACAATAGGACAGGAACAGTAGGCACATTTTGGTGCGCTTATGCACACCCCCTACAGGCCTCTTAGGAAAGGGGTGAGGTCAATAGTAGACAGTCTAAGGTTAAAGGGTTTGGGGAAGAAACCACAGAGTCAGGTAGAGTATTCCAGGTATTGACCGCTCTGTTGCTGAAGTCGTATTTCCTGAAGTCAAGTTTGGTACAGTTTATCTTGAGTTTATGTCTATTGTTTGCTCTTGTATTATTTTGTTCCCAGGCTAGGTAACATCTTATATGATGTTTCCTCGTCTGGAAACAAAACTTTCAGAAACTAAACAACAAGGTCGGAGAACAAACCAATGGTGGGATTCAATTTTTTTTTACTATGGGTGTGGCATGGCTGGGCTTGGTGGGCGTGACTTGGTGGGCATGGCATAGGAAGGATACTGCAGAATCCCCATTCCCTCCCCACCCCACTAACCTGCTTTCCAGCTCTGTTCTCCTTTGCAGGGCAACCAAAGAAGACCTAGCCAATCAGCTGGGACTCAGGAGGAGGAGACTAGATGGGGGCGGGGCCAGTCAGAGGTAGGATTTGCCGGTTCTCCGAACTACTCAAAATTTCGGCTACCGGTTCTCCAGAACTTCTGAATACTACCTCTGGAACAAACCACCACCAAAACCAAAGGCTTCCCTGTCCAGTCATTTCTGACTCTGGGGAATGGTGCTCACCTCTGCTTCTTGGCCGAAGGAGCCAGTGTTGTCCAAAGACAATTTCCGTGGTCATGTGGCCAACATGGCTATAATCTAAAGCTGAACGGAACACTGTTCCATTCCCACCAAAGTGGTGCCGATTTATTGACTTGCATTTGCATGCTCTTGAATGGCAGGAGCTGGAGCAAGTAATGGGAGCTCACTGTGTAAGGAGCACTCGGGTCTCAAACTTGGGCTATCAGCTCTGCAGCTGAGAAGCTCAGCATCTTTAACTGCAGAGCCATTGCGCCCCACGTGATTAAGCACTTTGCTCTGTGTAAGAGTCTGAATGGATGATTTAATGGTATGATACGTGCCTTCCAATAAATATAATAGCAATAGCAGGTGGCCATTAGTCTGTTTATCCATTTAGCAACAGACTCGCACCTAAATAGCCACATGTTTAGCAACAAGATAGATGCTAATAATTTCATTTTTTTAAAAAAATTCCAGCTGGCTGTAGAAATTTTAGCTGGATCCCAAGCTTTGCCCAAGCAGATGGTCATAAAAACGGAGAAATGGCACATTTATCACATTTATCTCCTATGTGACACACTTCCAAATATATGTTGTATCCACACAGGAAGAGCTATAACCCTAGCTACGACTTAGAGCAGTTGGTGGGTTTAACTTTCTTAAAAGTGTCATTTTAAAGCCAGTTTAACAATTAATGAGCCTTGGTGGTGCAGTGGTAAGAGTGCAGTACTGCAGGCTACTTCTGCTGACTGCCGGCTGCCTGCAATTTGGCAGTTTGAATCTCAGCAGGCTCAAGGTTGATTCAGCCTTCCATCCTTCCCAGGTAGGTAAAATGAGGACCCAAATTGTTGGGGTCAATACATTGACTCTGTAAACCGCTTAGAGAGGCCTGTAAAGCACTGTAAAGTGGTATATAAGTCTAAGTGCTATTGCTATGCTAATGGCATAGAACTTGTTTGATAAAGGAATTCCTTTTTAAAGAGGGAAACTTAGTTGCCAAGTGCCTGAATTTTAATCATGTGACCATGGGGAAGTTGCAATGGTTAAGTGTGGAACACAGACATAAATCCTGTAGTAACTTCAAACGGTCACTAAATGAACTGTTGTAAGTTGAGGACTACCTGTATACCCATCTCCCTATGCAAAGTGACTCTGGACAGCTTGAAATACAATAGAAGCAGAAATACAAAAACATTGACAAGTAACAGGAATGATATAAAACTAATAGCCAGATATACGACATGGGATCTTCTCTCTTACACCTCCAGCCTAAAAGACCCTCGTCAAGGCCCAAAGCTAGTTAGCAGAGCCAAGGTTTGAAGATTTAAGGAAAGTTACAAATCAAAACCCTGTTATTATACAGTCTTCAGGGCTCTTCATATCTTCTTCTTAAAAGGCAGGCTGATTGAAAGTTGCTGGATTACCAAGGAAGAGGTTTTCCATCCCAGTTCACAAAAGTGCCAGTTTCTTTCTCAGAGAGGCGGGCAAGTGTTTTAAGAATATTTTGTACACCATCCTCAACTGTAGTTGGGGCTTTCAACTGCAAAGAAAGAAAGGAAGAAAGAAAAGAAAGAAAGGAAGGAAGGAAGGAAGGAAGGAAGGAAGGAAGGAAGGAAGGAAG